CGTCGGCCCGGCCCGGCGCACCGGTAGTGATTCCGGGTGGGGTCTCTTCTGGCCCCCTCCCCGATGCGCTCTCCGGGACTCCTCTCCCTAAAGACTCGTCCGGGAAGAGTGGAGAATCGGCTTTGGGTGTGTTACCTGTCGACGCGAGTTGTAGCCACCCTAGATCGTCCTGTTGAACGTGCCTGATGGCAGCCTCTCTCAGCGATCGCTTTTAGGGATAGAGGAAAGTATTCTAACTCCCTCCACCCCAAAGCTCTTAACGCTGGAAGCCACAGGGCACTGCGATTTCCCCCCTAGCCCTTCAGTACCCATTGTTTTGTACTGCCTCCTTCGCATCCCTAGGTAGGTCTAACTCCAAAGAATTACATTTTTCTTTCTTTTTTTCTCTTTCCTTCCTTTCTCCCTTTTCTCTTTCTTTCTTTCTTTCTTTCTTTCTTTCTTTCTTTCTTTCTTTCTTTCTTTCTTTCTTTCTTTCTCTCGTGGAGGGTTTGTGTTGTTCTGGACGTGCAGATTTGCAAACAGGTGGAATGAATACCCATTTAGGGGTTGAAAAGAGATGCTTTTTTTGCGTTTGTGTTTTTAAGCGTTTAGCTCTTAGAGTTGACGATTTGATTTTTGTCTGTTGTTTTGTATCATAATGGGGAGTGATGAGAATAAAAGAGGAAGCACTGTTTTGAAACCTACCGAAAGAAATATTTTCGAAGTCTCTGGGGATGCTGAGGCAAAATTAGGTTGCAGATGTGGACTGTGTGCATTTACCTCCAGCATGGAACTACTGTGTAAGTCTCTAAGCTTACACCTGTGCAATTTCAAACACTCTTCATGGATGTCAGAAGTGAGTAGTATCTACTCAGGGAGCTTCCTGTATTAGACCTTATTCTTTTTGTTATATTTTTCAGAATCCCAGGGTGCAGTTGTGTAATCAGCGTATCAAAATGTAGCATCAACACTGAAAAACTAGTTTTAATGTTAAAAAGCGCTTTACTTATTAGTGTACTATGTTCTATGAGCTGTGCCCCTCGGTAGCTGTTGGTTACTATGTATTTGAAGAGACCTAGCTATTACATACAATATGTAACATTAGCCTGAATTTATCAAGTGTATTATAGATTGTCTCTGTGACAGTGACAAGTATTTTAAGACCTTAACTACAACTGTTCTTTGCATTTAGAACTTAGACTTAATATAATAAAAATAGTTATTTGGACACAAACTGTAAAAATTGTAAATGAAAAAATTGTGCTTGAAAAATAGATCACAAAAATAAGGTTTGTAACTTTTAAATGGCTTAAATGTATAGTACAAAGGTATCATAAAACTACAAATATATTCTTGAAATCCCAGTTTTGAATTATGGACGTGGCCTTTCTTTAAGGTTATTCTATTTTCCAAGGTGCTGGTTCAGTTTTTGAAGAAATAACCACATTTATCTGAAGTTCCTGTTTGCTTTCTCATCTCTCATTGTTATCATTTTCAAGTTTTAAAGTTTTTCTCATTAGGGACTGAAGAATAATGTTAAGAGGTAGATTAATAGTTTGCAGCTGCCCCCCCCCCCCCCCCCCTCCCCTCATCCTACCATCTCACACAAACA